CATAGGAGATGGGTCTATATTTTCCTTTTTTGGTTGTGTCTTTACCTAGTTTTGGTATTAGAGTGGTGCTGGATTCATAGAAGGAATTTTAGAGTTCTCCCTCTGTTTCTATCTTTTTGAATAATTTAAGTAGTATTGGTTGGAGGTCTTCTTTAAATGTCTGGTAGAATTCTGCTGTAAATCCAACTAGTCCAAGGCTTTTTTTAGTTGGGAGGTTTTGTATTACTATTTCAATTTCCTTATATGTTATGGGTCTCTTTAAACTGTTAATCTCTTCTTGGTTTAGCTTCGGTGGTTCCCATGATTTTTAGATATCTATCCATTTCTTTTAGTTTTTCAAATTTAATAGGTTTTTAAAATATTCCCTTATAACTGTTTGGATCTTTTTGGTGTCTGTTGTGATGTTTCCCCTTTCATCTCTGATTTTGTTGATTTGGATTTGCTCTTTCTTTCTTTTAGTTAACTGGGCTAAGGGTTTGTCTATCTTGTTTAGCTTTTCAAAGGACCAGCTCTTAGATTCATTGATTCTTTGTATGGTTTTCTTTGTTTCTATTTCATTAATTTCTGCTCTGATTTTTGTTATTTCTTCTCATCTGCTGGGTTTAGGTTTCATTTGTTCTTGCCTTTCCAGCATCTTGAGTTTTTATGTGAAGTCATTTATTTGTGCTCTTTCTGATTTTATTTTATTTTATTATTTTATTTTTGAGACAGGGTCTCCCTGTAGTACCAGCTGGCCTGGAACTCACTATGTAGACCAGACTGGCCTTGAACTCATAAAGATTCACCTGCCTCTGCCTCCCAAGTACTGGGATTAAAGGTATGTGCCACCACACCCAGCTCTTTCTGATTTTATGATGTAGGCACTTAGAGCTATAAACTTCCCTCTTAGAACTGCTTTTAAAGTGTCCCAGAGATTTTGTTGTATGGTCCTTTTCATTTAATTTCAGGAATACTTTTATTTCTTTCTTAATTTCTCCTTTGACCTACTCATCATTCAAGAGTATATTGTTTAATCACTGTGAGTTCGTGTAATTACTAGGGCTTCTTCTGGCATTGACTTAAGCTTTATTGCATTGTGGTCTGATAAAATGCATGGAATTATTTCAATTTTTTAATATTTTTGAGGTTTGTTTTGTGCTCCAGTATGTGGTCAGTTTTTTAGAAAGTTCCATGGGGTGCTGAATAGAAAGTTTATTCTTTGGTGCATGGGTGGATTATCAGTAGATGTGTGTTAGGTCCATTTGATATATGCTATCATTTAAATCAGATGTCTCTTTGTTTATTCTTTGGTTGATCTCTCTAATGGAGACAGTGGGGTATTGAAGTTCCCTATTATTACTGAGTTGGGGTTAATCTGTGTCTTAAGGTCCTGTAGTACTGTTTTTATGAATTTGGGTGAACTGGATTTTGGTGCATATATGTTCATGATTGTAATATCTTCTTTCTTTCTTTCTTTCTTTCTTTCTTTCTTTCTTTCTTTCTTTCTTTCTTTCTTTCTTTCTTTCTTTCTTTTTCATTCTTGACACAGGGTCTCCCTGTAGCCCCAGCTGTCCTAGAACTCTCTATGTAGACCAAGCTGGTCTTGAACTCACAGAGATCCACAGCCTCTGCCTCCAGAGTACTAGGATTAAAGGCATACACTACCACACCCGGCTGTAATATCTTCTTGGTTAGTTGTTCCTTTGATCAGAATGAGGTGACCCTCTTTATTTCTTCTGAGGAGTTTTAGTTTGAAGTCTATTTTGTCAGATGTTAGAATTACAACCCCTTCTTGTTTCTTAGTGCCATTTGCTTGGAATATTCTTTTCTATCCTTTCTCCTTAAGGTAGCACCTGTCCTTGAAGCTGGGATGGGTTTCATGTAGACAATAAAAAGATGGATTTTTTTTCTTAATCCATTCAACTAGCCTGTATCTTTTGACTGGGGATTTCAGTCCATTGATATTAAAAGTTATTATTGAAAGATATGTATTGATTGCCATCATTTTTATTACTGTTGCATTGCCTAATTTTGTGTTTCCATGATTATACCTTCATTTAGTTTCTTTCTATTGACCCTGGGGCATAGTTTTTTCTTTCTCCATTCTTTGTATTGCTTCAAGTGTTCTTTGAAGGGCAGGTTTTATGGATGCGAATTCTTTCAGCCTATTCATGCCATGGAAGATTTTTCTTTCCCCTTCAACTATAATAGACATTTTTGCTGAGTAAAGTATTCTGGGTTGGCATCTGTGGTCAGAACTGAAAATACTTTGGTCCAGGCTCTTTTGGCTTTCATAGTTTGCATTGATAAGTCAGCTGTAATTCTGATGGGTTTTCTTTTATATGTGAGTTGGGTTTTGGTAGGGTTTTTTTTTTTTTTTTTTTTTTTGGTTTGGTTGGGTTTTTTTTTGTTTTTCAGCTTTCAGTATTCTCTCTTTGTTCTGTACATTTAGTGTTTTTACTATGATATGCGGGGGGGAGCTTCTTTCCTGGTCCTGTCTATTTGGTGTTCTGTGTGCTTCTTGTATTTGTATGGGCATGTCTTTCCTTAATTCCAGGAAATTCTCTTCTACAATCCTGTTTAAGATCTGGTCAAGACCATTAACCTGAAATTCTTCTTCTTCCTCTATGTCTATGATGTGTAGATTTGGTCTTTTCATGGTGTCCCACATTTCTTGCATATTCTATTCCTGTGTTTTTTTAGAATTTTTTCATAATCTTTGCTTGAGTGGTCCAATTCTTCACCAGTATTGATATTCTGTTTTCCATTTCATTCACTAAATTGATGAGGCTTTCTCTTGTTGTTTCAAGTTGGCTTATTGAATTTTTCACTTCCTTCTTCATTTCAGTCTGTTTTCTTCAATGTTTCTATCTCTTTTGTGATTTCAGTCAGAAGTTTATCCCTATGTTCTTTTAATTCTTTGATTTGTTTGTTTGTATGTTCTATAAATTCATTGAATTCTTTGATAATCTTTTTTATTATTCTTTTAAATTCTGTGTCCTGGGTTATCTCTATGGGGTTCTCCTTGTAGAACTCTTCTACAGGACTGGTAGAGTTTGGTGGGAGCATACTGTTTTGGTTTTTCCACATTATTTTTCTGTTTTGATTTTGGCATGTGGGGCCTTGTGATATTTCTCCCATCCGTGTTGGCATGTCAGCTGCTAATATGTGATCTCATTTAAACAACCATATTGTTGAGGTTCCATGGTTGCAGCATCTCTGTCATGTCTAGAAGACAGTATCTCACAGCAGGTATCCTGGTCCCCTGGCTCTTAAAATCTTCCTGCCCCCTTTTCTACTGTTTTCTCTGAGCCTTAGGTATAGGGGTCATATTGTAGATGTATCAGTTGGAGCTCGGCAACCCACAGTCACTTGTTCTCTGCATTTTGACCAGTTGTGGCTTTCTGTAATTGTCTCCATCTGTTGCAAAAAGAAGTTTCTCTGGTAAGGGGTAAGAGCTGCACTATCTGTGGGTAAAAGGATAAGTATTAAGTAAATATTTTATTTTGTTTTATTTTTAATTTATTTTATTTGTATGAGTGTATTGCCTGCATGTGTGTAAGTGCACTCATATACAATGCCTGCAGAAGTCACACGAGGACAACAGATCCCCTGGAACTGGAGTTAAGAGTGGTTGTTAACTGCCATGTGGGTACTGGGAATTGAACTTGAGTCCTCTGCAAGAGAAGCCAGTGCTCTTAATTGCTGAGCCATCTCTCCAACCCCCAGGATAAGTATTTAGAATAATTAGAAATTATATTTGATTCAGACAATGGCAGTAGTAAGCTCTGCTCTAGGGTCTATGACCTCTCCAGTTGTGGATATTTGTCTAGGTTTACAGTACCATACTCCCCTATCAAACAGCCTTAAATCCAGTTAGACAGTTTTTGATTACCCCAATTAAAAATGCCATTGTTGTACCATTGGGGATATCTTGCCAGGCTGGTCATGTCTGTTCTGGTCACAGGCTTTACAGCAAGATAGGACTATTGATTGCTTTTCTCCCTTGGCAACTTGCATCACAACTTGCAATACTAAGAGCTGCTTCTCAGAGAGGAGGCTTCCAGCCCAGCTCAGTTCCTCCAAGTCCTGAGTCCAAAGTTTATGGTGTTTTCAGCCATAGGGTCTTACCTTCTAGTTCTGGAAGGTAACCAAAGGCAAATACAATACCTAGATTGCTTCAGGGGCTCTCTTGGACCCCTCTAACCAACAATTTGAAGGGAGGTTTTCCAAGCTTGGCACTAAGGTTTTTGAAGATAATCTATGGCTCTTGGGGGGAGCATTATCACCCCATGAGGCATAACTCCATTTAAACTATATATGCATTATAACATATATGTATTTTTATTATATATTATATTGTATATGCATTTTAAGTAAACGTGTAAAATGGTGTCTTTTCCTATGTCTTTCAGACATCCTTATTATTATTTACCTCTCCTTTCTCCTTTTCCTTCTGTATTGCCCTCCCCTCGCCCTAGTCAATGTATACCTCTCCATTTTTCCCATTTTTCCCTTGGCATTGCCTTTGTCTTACTATCCCCATCTCTTGCGCTCCCTCTCCCCCATCTCCCCGGGGTCCCTCTCTATTTTCCTGAGTCTTGCAATTGCTTCAGGATATACACTAACATCTGAAGATTCAGAGCTAGGATCCACAAATGAGAAAGAACATGCGCCACTTGCTTTTCTGAGTCTGGGTTACTTCATTCGATAAAATATTTTCTACTTCCATTTATTTACCTACAAATTTCATGATTTCATTTTTCTTTATAGCTGAACAGAATTCCGTCATGTAGAAGTACTACATTTTCATTATCCATTCATCATTTGAATGACATTTAGGTTCTTTCCATTCCCTAACTAGTATAAATTTTTTAAGGAAGAAGAAATAAATTTAAATTAATATTTTTACTTGGTAATATTTAAATTTTTCAATGTGGTTCTTAACTACATCAACACAATATGTATTTACTTTATCCTGCAATCTCTATGATTTTATTGCATGGTTTCTTTTGTTGCAGTTTTCATGTCCTAAAGGATGAGATGTTCACTAGACACACACTGTTCCGCCAGTTCGTCATGATTGCTGATACCTCCTTCAATTACATTGTAAGTACATAGAATGCTTAAATGCTGTTTGTCTCTTTTACAATGTGTGTCTGTGTCTTTCTGTCCTTACTTACCATTTATTAAGCTCATGTCTTTAAAGAGTCTAGAAATAGTACATGACTGTCACTTTATGGATACTGAGGGCATACCTCAAAGTGCCTGAGCCCAGAGAGCTCAGTCAGTGTGAAGTGTAGATGGATAAACAGATTGTTACAATGCAGCATAATGGTTAAGCCATTGCAAATTCCACATGGGGCTTTACTCATTCTGGCTGGGAGTATGTTTTAATTTTTTTCATCTTTGGTCATGGGTACAATGTTGGGGAATATCAAAACTCAAAGTTCAAACATCTACTCACTTCCAAGGAGGTAAGTGCCAAGCCATTAATTTTCAGATTAGAAGTTGCACTTACCAATTTTTTTTTATCACTATAACAAAATAACTGAGATGGCTAACTTTGAGGGAAAGTTGGTCCCTTCAGCTCACTATTGGAGCTTCAAAGTCCATGTGGCATTGTGCACACTGGTGGCAAGGCTGTCCCTTGGCGGTGTCATTTCATGATGCACAGCAATGGTAGGAGCACAGTAGGAGTGAGTGGTCACATCCTGAGCCAGGAAGCAGAGAGAACAAGAATCAAGCTTGCTCCATTTCAGCCCCCGGCCCCTTGTGAGAACTCAAAGAAGTGACATAAGGACCTCCAGTTAGACTCCACCTCTTGAAGGGTCTACCTAATAGTGCCAACCTGTGGTTCAGTTCCCCAATATGTGAACCTTGGTGAGCACAATATACCAAATTAAGCTCATAGAGAGGAGATGAAGTCCACCTCTGAAGCAGACTGTTTACCCTGTTTGACTTAGCTTTTCATGGAACAGTCCTGTATATAAAAGTGAATGATGTACCTGGAGAGATGGCTCAGTGATTAAGTGCACTAGCTGCTCTTGTAGCTGGACCTGGGTTCAGTTCCTAGCACCCACACCAAAGCTAACAACTGTCTGTAACTGCAGTTCCAGGGGATCCAATGCCCTCTTCTGGCCTCTGTGGACATTGTATGTGCAGGCGCACTTACATACATGCAGGCAAAATACTCATACACATAAAATAAAAATAAAAATAAATAAAAATTTTTAAATGATGGCCAGAATAGAAAAATCCAGTAAATTTCAACAAATAAAAAGCAAGTCAACATGATAACAACTATTTTAAGCTTCTGCTGTGCCTTCTCAGGACAAGTCAGCTTTGTAGGACAGGGCATAACAAACATAGACTGTAGGATCTTGCTTGAAGTGACTCATAGCTTAAAATAAGTTTCCTTTAAATTCTTTTCAACATTTATTGCTTTAGGACCATTTTCTATGTGTACGTTACTACAGGGGATTAAAGTGTTCTTTTACTTTGGTTTCTTCCTCATTAAAAATATTTTTTTTGATATTTTTGAGACAGGGTCTCCCTGTAGCCCCAGCTGGCCTGGAACTCACTATGTAGATCAGGCTGGCCTTGAAATCATAGAGATCCGCCTGCCTCTGCCTCCCAAGTGCTGCCACCATGCCTGGCTCCTCATTTAAGTTTTTTAAAAATTACTTTTATTTTTAATTATACATATATGTGGAGGTATGGGTATGGGTGAGGGGTGGGTATGTGCACATCAGTGCAGGTGCTTGTAGAGACCAGAGAAGTTGGATCTGGAGCCGGAGTTACAGGTGGTTGTGAGCCTGCAGATATGGTTGATGGGAATTTAGCTCAGGTCCCCACAACTCCTCCCAGATATATGCCTCCCCTTTCCTATCCACCCAACTTTGTGCCCTCATTTTTCTTTTTAAATCCATCGAATCTAATTTGTGATGCCCATATACTCTTGGGTATGTGGCTGTCTGCATATACTCTTGGGTATGTGGCTGTCTGCTGGAGTGGGGACCACCCATTAAAGAAAACTGACTTTCCCTCTCCCAGCCACCCTCAGTTGCCAATAGCTACTCAGTTAGGGTTGGGACATCGTGTTGACCTCTTCTCTCCTTGCTGGGATTTTGTCTGACCTGAGTTTGCACAAGTTTTATCCATGCTGTGAAAACCACTGTGAGTTCATATGTTCACCTTCCCTGTTGTATCCAGAAAACATTGTTTCATTGTAGTCATCCACCTATCCTGGTTCTTATGATATTTCTGCCCTCTTCTCTGTGTTGGTCCCTGCGCCTTGTGGAGAGAGGGTGTGATGTAGGTGTCCCACTTGGGGTTGAGCATTCATCAGTCTACTATTCTCTGTACATTGACCAGTTGTGGATCAATGTATTAATCACCATCTACTGAAAAAAGAAGCTTCTCTGATGAGGGCTGAGAGATGCACTGATCTGTGGGCATAATGACAAGTCATTAGGAGTCAGTTCAACACTAGGTTCATTTAGCAGAATAGCAGTAGGTTCTCCCCTACGACCTGTGACCTGTCTAGCCACAGGCTCTTGGTCCTGGCAACAGTGCTGGGTATGGGTTTCATTTTGTGAAACCAGCCTTAAATCCAATCAGAAAGTGACTGGTTACTCAGATGACATTTGTGTCACTGTTGCACTGTTATTGTAGTTTACAGGGTTCGCACAGGGTTCACACAGGGTTCACGACTGATGATTTCTTTTCTTTTCTGATAGTGTGCATAACACCTTCCAGCACCATGAAAGCTAACAGTAGGGATGAAGCTTCCAGGACAGTGCAGGCTTGATTTCTCCGTGTTCTGTGACTTATTATGTGTGGTCTTCAGTAGTAGGGTCTTACTGTCAAGTTCTAGAAGGTAATGAAGAGCATTGGCAAGGCTTGTAATTTTGGGGGGTCTGTGGGAGCTCATTAGCCAATGACTCCTAAAGAGGTAGCCCACTCCTGGCACTGGACTTTTTATTTGTTAGGCTGTAGTATCTAGTTTGGGCATTGTCCTGTTATATGGTGACTCCATTTAAAGTGTTCTTTAAAAGGATACTGTCAAGATAGTATTTTTAAACTAAATTTACTTAAAATCTGAGAATTTTAAAAATTGTCTTTCTTATGCTGGGCATGGTGGCACACGCCTCTAATCCCAGCACTCAGGAGGCAGAGGCAGGCAGATCTCTTTGAGATCAAGGCCAGCCTGGTCTACATAGTGAGTTCCAGGCCAGCTGAGGCTATAGGAAGACCCTGTCTCAAAAAGACCAAAAAAATTGTCTTTCTTGAACTATTTCAAAACTGTTCAACTTGGGAACATGACAGTGTCTTCTTCCCTTCTTGTTTTGTCCTTTTCTCACAGAGGGCTGCAGTCTCCTTGGTATAACCCTCATTTTAAATAATCAACTGGATAAAATACAATTTCGGAAGTTTCACAAGAAAGCTATGCTACTCAATCAGGCATTTTTAGTATCTTGGGAGGGGTGAGGGAAGGTTGTGATTTGTTTAAAACAAAGTCTCTTGTAGACCCAGCTGTCCTTAAATTATCTTTTCCTGTTCTTATTGGCCATTCTTAGATATTATTTATTGAAGGATCAATGCCTTTTGAAATTGTATAAAACATAACAAATTTTACCTTCTTAATCTTTGCAAATGCATAAATTCTGTTAGTGTTGAACACATTGATGTTGCTGTGCAACCAAACTCCAGAACTTTTCCATCTTACAGAACTGAAATTCTAAACTCATTAAGCAACAACACCCCACCCTCATCACTGCGCTGTTATCCACTTTTAATTGTTACTGTGGTATAGTATTTTGTTACACATTCTGAGTGCAATTCCTTTGTCAGATATGTGTTGTAACTTTATATGTTTTGTAAATCTTTTCTCATTGTTTATTGATTGATGGACGGACGTATGTGTGTGTTTCTGTCTGGGTGTATGCACACATTTGAGCCAATACCTGTGCAGGTAATGCATCTTTGCATGTAGGGAAGCCAGAAGAGGGCACTGGGCATCCTCCTCTGTCATTCTGTGCTTACTCCTTTGAGGCAAAGTCTTGCTGCAAACCTGAAGCTCACGTTTTCTCAGCTGGGCTGAGAAACTCCAGGGATTCTCCTGTCTCTGCCACCACAAAGCTGGGGTTACAAGTGTGTACTAGACACCTGGTTTGTTATGTGCGGCTGGGATCTGAACTCCAGGACTCATGATTGCACAAGGAGTGTTTTTAACTGCTGAGCCATCAACTCAGCCTCCTCATTGTAGACTTAAATTTTTGTGTTTGTTTATTCATTTTATGTGTATGAGTGTTTTGCCTGAATGTATGTAAGTGCACCCAAATTATGCAATGCCCATAGAGGCCAGAACAGGGCATTGGATCCCCTGGAACTGGAGTTCAAACAGTTGTTAGCTGCCATATGGGTGCTGAGAACTGAACCCAGGTCCTCTGCTAGAGTAGCCAGTGCTCTTAACCACTGAGCCATCTCTCCAGCCCATCGTATATTTTTATGCCATTTTCTAAACACTCTGAAGTTCAATTTTTTTAATTTTGTTTCATATTTTATTTTATTTATTTAGTGAGTGAGCAGTGTCTGGCCTCAAACTCACCATCCTCCTGCCTCAACTTCCTAAGTGCTGGGCTTACAGGCACGTACCACCACAGCTAGATTTTTTTGTTGTTGTTGTTTATTAGAAGAAGCATTTCATTAAAACAGCATTAACCTATTCAATAACATTTTTCTGAGCTAGGGTACATCTCTTTCAAAATTGGCTGTATGTTTTTAGGTTTACATATGAATTATTACACTTGTACAATCTTTTACTCATTATAAACTCTATAAGACATAAAATTAAATGAGTTTTTAACATTTAAAAAAGATTTCCACTTTGTTGTTAAAATACACAGTTTCATACAGAAAAATTCATTTTAAGGCAGTTGACATTGAGACGTTTTCACATGCATTTCTAGTCTCTATATATATGACTATTACTGGTCACAGTTGCTTACTTTCTGAGTTCCTTGGCATATGAGCATGAATATAAACTCATCAGACAGCCTTCCTCTCCCACTAGAGCCTCCATACTCTGCCATCCCTGCCAC